ATGTTTCATGTTATTATTTACTTCTTTTATTCATCTTGTATATCGATTATATGAAAAATGAACAAAACAAAGCATGGGGTCGGATTCAACTCTACTTTCTTGGATATGCTGAAAATCTATCTTGCCGTTAGAGGGTTAAATATTGTCCCACAGAAACAAAGAAGTTCTTTAATACTTTCTAACATAGTATTATTTTTTTCAAATAATTCATTGCTTGTGACAACCATCGTAATGTTTTGGATGAAAATGCAAAAGAAATATGTTAAAGATATTTATCGTCTGAGAAACCAAACAATCCTGTTCGTGGAATCAAACATTCGTTTGCTCAATTCCAAAAGACAAATTAAATTAAATTAAATTAAATTAATTCAATTAAAGAAATTTTGTTCAAACAAATCTTCTTCTATGTGCGGTTATTCGTTCTTATTTTCTTTCTACACAGTAAAAAATTTTGTGTCGCAAACGGTCTACTTAAATTTATATGTTGCTTCAACATGGGGAATATGTTAAATTATCATATTCACTTGTTAACATATTCCTTGTTAAAGTAACAAGAAAATTTAAGTGCACCCTATCTGTAACACGAAATTGTTTACTGTGTGTAGAATACGAATACTTTCATCCGATTAGGGCCGAACGCGAAATATTCGTGTGAAATTCTTAATTTGGCCTCCGAATTAGCGCCGTGTCCTTCATGGGATTTTCAACGTTTCATGAACATTTCGGCTTACTTCTCCAAGGTTCGCTTCATCTGAAACTGTTTCCGAGTTTCTTCACCTCGAAGAAGCGAACTGAAATGTTCACGAGACGTCGTGAGCAAATTTATGAAAGACGTGACGCTAACTCGGAAGCCAAATTAAGTATTCCTCCACATCGCGAAAGTCTCAAAATACCACATTTGCGTAATATTTTTAACTGTTGGAGAATGATAACGCTCAACGAGTGCGTTTCCTTTTTATTCTCAGAGTTGTTCCATACCTCGAAATATCAAGGCAAAATTAACAGAAAGCAGATACTTTACGGGATATTAACGTTAACGGAAAGCAGATACTTTACGGGATATTTCATTCTGATACATATCGGAATACGCCGAGAGATGAAATATATGGAATATGTGGCGCGAAATATTCACGTTTCGTTGACCCCGCCTTAATATTTTTACGCGCAGATTGATGAGGAAAACATATTTTTGCGAAGAAGGACGGATGCGTTTCAATTAAAAAAATTTTTTGATTACCCGGATGATGCCCGCGAGCTTGAATAAAACCGAGCACGAAAATACCCGGGCTATATTGACAGCACTAATACGAGTTAAAAACAGCTAAATTCACTTCCCTCTGCTAGATTCGTGTACAAAGTTAACACACACGCACACAGAGAGAGAGAGAGAGAGAATCGCGCTTGCCGGTCCTACCGGAGAGAAAACTGCAGAAAGAGGATGCGAGTTGGAAACGCTACTCGCGACTCGCTTTTTCCTAGCAGTTCTTGTGTAAAGCTAATGGAGAGGCGAGTCGAATAGCAGCGAGTGACTAGTCTACCTTGTTCGGGAAAGAATAGCGGGAGAGATAAGCGAGTTAAAGGCCGCTCTCGACTCTCCATCCCGCTAAATTTGTGTATAAAGCTGGTACAGTAGGAAGACGAGTAGCGGTGTAACTCGCTTATCTTGTTCGAGAAAGGGCCAGTGAAAAAGATAAACGAGCAACGTTCGCAATATTTGACTCGCCCCCCTCTCTTTCTCTCTCTCTCTCTCTCTTTTTCCCTTCGCCCAGCCCTCGTATGTATTCTTAACGTCGTAATATCGAGTTTACGTGAAGTCAAGGTAATGGAGGGGACGAGAGCTAACCGAGCGAGTTCCCCGCTTAATTTCTGTGTTAACTCTCGCCCGGTGGATCAGGCAAATATATATGCCGCTGTTCGATTCGTCGGCCGGCTGATTTTGCGTAAAATTCCGGCGTTAAGCCGAGAACTCATGCAGATCCGGCGGTCGGAAAACGGAGCCGAGGAGCCGCGCTCTGGCTCTTCATTATCGTAGCTTTTCCATTATCTAGCGCCGAAGGAAGATAAACACGTAACTCTCTCTCATTTCTTGACTCGACGGTTCCGCAGCTGCGACTGGTAACGTTCGATTTATGCGAAACCGATAGGCGGGCTGAACTAAGTGGCAAATTACTCGCTCGTCCCTGCCCTTTATCTTCCGTCAAAGAAAGCCGATGCAAATAACTTGCTACTCGACACCGCTTAAATTAAGCGCTGCACGCTTAATTTAAGCTCGGACGAAGGCCGGAGAACACGACGGTCGAGCGCTTGCTATCCAAATATTCTTCGGGATCTTCCACAAGCTACACTTCCCTGAACTAACTCGGGAACAGTCACCACAATCATTTACATATACATTTACAATTAAAAGTCACCATTGTTAACAAAATATAGCATATTGTCGAATGCTCTTGATTTATTATTTCGAGATATTATAAACGTAGATTTACCTCGATGCTTTTTGGAAAAAACGAGGAGAAAACGTCACAAAAATATTTAAGAAGCGGAATAAACACATCAAGCGATCGGCTCGTGGTCATTCACGTAAAAAAACTAAGATAACTTTTCCCGGGCTAATCTAGTATTAATTGATTCTAATCGATACTGATATTGATCGATACTAATCGATAGTCGACAATAAGTGACGCTCGCTGGACCTCGTTCCGCCGGACGCAGCCTTCGTATCGATCTCGATCGTCAAGTGAGGGAGGGAGGGGAAAGGGGAGACGTCGAGTTTCAGCGTGAAAACATGGAAGGTAGGCGAACACCGTCATCTCGTTCGCGAGGACGAGGCTGGGGAAGTCCCGTCGTTGACGACGGTGATTACCAAGCGCCGTCGATCGTCCTCGCGACACGCGTTCGTTTACATTCCGCCGGGGTGGGACACGGGGGGGGGGGGAGAATTAAAGGGCCGATCGAATCTCGCCGAGGGAGAATCAAACTCGCAGAACGCCGCTCGTTCTCCGCTGTGACGCATCCGTATCGGGGAACCCGACGACATGGCGCATGCATCGGGGACCGATCGTCCCAATCGTGTCCGAACGATGACGCGTTTTGAACGCGTTCGGCTGTCTCGCGGCGTTATCGAGAGGACACGAGAGGATATGAGCGCTATAAGTCCGCGGAAGAAAAGCTGCGACACCTTTTCCGCAACGTGTCCTTGCCCAATGGGAGAACTTAGATATATTTCGAGCAATTTCCAGAAATTAGTCGCTCAAGGAATGACCAATCACAGTCGAATGTGACGAGAATAATCGAGCGTGATTGGTCATATTTATAGTTTATTGAAGCTTAAAACACCTATTGTAGAGACTTGAGTTTGCTATTTGCCATACAACACGCATGCCTTCAAAACGTCTCAGAGATATCTTACTAGCTGCGTTCAGCGGAACATTTATCTCACAACTGTTGAAAGTTTTCTGCGCTGAGATTGGATCATCCCTCGAGATCTAAAAGAACAATCCATCCTCAGCTTAGAAAACTTTCGAAAGTTGCAAAATAAATGAAACGTTGTACCGAATCGTGGTCATTGTCTCGGAGAGGTCTTTGGAACATCTTAAGGCGTTCTGTTGGCTACGTTCAGCGAACGATTGCGTGATCGACTTTTGGGGGATGGACGTGACTGGTAGATCTAGAAGTATACACCAATCGGATAATTTTTACTCTACTGTAATGTACAACCGTTGTGTTCGCCGAACGCAACCAATGTTCCCTGGCTTGGTTTCAATACGACTTCGACAGCGCTCTCTCGAGTGCCTTCCATTTAGCAACGCAAGTATCATCCCATCTTCGTCGCTCATTGAATATGGAACAGAGACAAAATGATACTTGTGTCGACTTGTGGCCACTAAATGGAAAGCACCCTTTCTCGACGCACTTCGGAGCGCAGCCGATGATCCAATGAGGGAACCTGTCCCAGAAGTAGAGTTCCCTCATTGGACATCCGCTGCGTTCCGAATTGCGTCTAGGAGGTCGATTGTATACCTCAAAACGTAGAGAAAATTACAAAAAGGAGCAAATCCACTAGATGTCGACGAATTGAACTACAAATGTCTAGTGAAGCCCCCCCCACTTTTGTAATTCTCACCGAGTTTTGAAACGCACGATCGAACCGTATCGAAACCGAGGTGGACACCGGACGCTCTCTGAAGGCCTCGTCGAGGTGGAGGAGAGCTGCGAACTTTCTTCCACCGACTGTACATACGTAAAGACGGACGGACGGACGGCGATGACGCGCGCGTCCCGTGTCCCTCGCCGCGCCGCAACACGCCGATTCCCGACGATCAATCGTGCGCAGGAGGCAGACCCGACGGACGCGATCGAGCGACGTGGACGAGGCGGAGAGAAATGCGTGCTCTTTCTCTCTCCCTCTCTCATTCTTTCTCCGAAGTCGCCACAACGTGCGCGTCGTCCTCGGTATTATCGTTCGGACACGGGAGGTCGAGCTGCGAGCTCCCGGGGGGAGAGAAAGCGCCTCGGAGAGCGCGGACTCGGGGCGATGATGTGCACCCTCTTCGTCAGAGGACACGGGGCTCCTCCGCTCGTAACACCCGAGTGCGGGTGGCGTGACGTATCGCGGTACCGGGGCGGCAGGCGGGCGGATCGATCCGACTCGCGTGCGTCTCGGCACCGTCGCGAGGAGGTCGAGGAGAGAGCGATCCTTGAGCGCGACGTTCACAACACCGACGTCGTCGTCCTCAATGTCATTCGTTCGTTCGTCCATAGTCGTCATCGTCGTCATCATCATCGCCATCCTCAGCCGCGCTCCGCCTTCTCCACACCTCCTCTTCCGTCGACCGCCGCTGCCGCCGTCGCCACCTCCGCGCTTTCCCCTTTATTATATACCTCCGCTCTTTCGCCACATCCGTTCCCCTGCCAGCCCGAGTCGCTCTCTCTCTCCCCCCCTCTCTCTCTCTCTCTCTCTATTTCGAGACCGTCGCAGCCGTGGCTCTCTGGTTAATTACCTTTTTGCGTCGCGTTCAAGGCATACACTGGTCACTGTGTTAAGGCACGGGGGTGCACTGAGTCCCAATCCTCTCGGCTGGGGAAACTAGCCGCGTTAATACGGAATCGCGAGCGCGAGTCACACCGGAATCGTGCCGAGGGTGGCCGGGCACTGAACACGGCCAGATGGCGCTTGTGCCCGCGCGCCACCCCTGTCGTACAAAGTACCACCGCCGCACCAACCCCCTACCACGTCGGCGGCTCCCCTGCTGCCCTCTTCTTCCACCTTCTTTCGCCTACTCCTCCCGCCCCTCGCGGAGGAGTCGTTCTCCCACCCGTTCGGCCGATACCGCGTCCTCGGGAAGGGCACTCGTCCCCGATTCTCCGGCCATGGGCGCCGGCAGGATTTTTCACGCGGGGGACCACGTGTCGCGTGCGATTTCCTCCCCCGACGATGATCCACAGCCCCGGGATTTAAATCCCCCCTCGGATCGTCCCCGTCGGGGGAATATTCGCGGCGTCGAGCACGCTTTATTCGAGAGTTGAATAACGATCGAGTTCTCTCGGCCGTTCTCTCGGCACTACTCTCGCACGTAGGCGCTATTCGAACTCGTGCGTTGCACCGGAGTACAGTTGCCCCCCCCCCCCCCCCC